GCTACGCATGGAATGAATTCAGTGGGAATAAATTGCAGAAGATCCGTGAGTGGATCAATCTAGACTGATGAGGCTATGATGCCTCTTTTGATTTTGAGCCGGCTATGATGCCCGCTCGTGCCCACCCCATCCCGTCTTCAGGGAATTCGCCTCCAGCCATAATGGGGCGGCCTCTGGCCCAGACACCCCGGAACCCTCCAAGACAACTCAAATCAAAACCCAAACCGGACCCCCCCAATCAGACCACACCCCTTTTTGAAATGAAATCCGGAGTAGCCTTAGGTCGGGCATGTCCCGCTACAGGCGGATTTTGGACGAAAAATCAAAAATACCCCATAAAACACTCAGAAATGGTCGAAAAATTCTCGAAAAATCGTCCCCAGACTATTCCTGGACTATTTTTTGAATATTCCTCCAGTCGAGGGACAGGCCCGACTTAAGAGCAGCAAAGCCCCACGACGGTGTGCAGATCCTGGCCTCGACCAGGAGATGCAGACACCGTGCCAGGGCCCAGGACGGCCCCAGCCGGGCACAGCGGCCGCGTAGAATTAGGTCGGGCGTGTCCTCCTACAGTGACATGTTGGACGAAGAATGCCACATATATATATATATATATATATATATATGTATAGCATAGTATGTACACAAACGGATAATGTATACATATGTACATGTACACATATATATATATATACAGATCATTTGTCGAACAAATTCAAGCCCAAGATACAGAGAAGTCCCATGACTGCTTTTTGAATATGTTTGTCCTGTGGAAGGAGGACACGCCCGACTTAAGCGTAGAAGTACACATGCCCTCTGCGTAGGGAGGGCAGTGGAGCCTCGGAGCGGAGGGAAAACGGAGGTCACAGCAAGGGGGAGGGCGAGGGGGAGGTCGAGCACAAACTCCCCCGAGCGCGGACTCACGGTGGGAGGCAAGTCTCGCTCGCGGGCGGCCCGTCTCCCACACCCCGATCTTGAGGTACTTGCAGGGGAGGTCGAACATGAGGATGTCGAAATTGACGTTGATCAGCTCTTCGTTGTTCCGGTCCATAACTATGTTGGTGGCATAGGTGGTCCTCTGGCGGATGCCCGACTGACCCCCCCTCCTCTTGCCCCTCCTGTCCCCCTCTGGTCGAATCGCCTGCAGGGAGAAGCATACTGAATGACCACGGAAGGCAACGAGGAGGGAAAGGTTGGATGCCTGGAAATGGGCACCAACACCAAAACAAGGGGCTGCCTCCACAGGGGGGAGATGATCCTAGATTTCGGTGTTGGTGGTAATATTTCGGTCACCTTAGAAGCCAGAATATTACCACCATCACCGAGATCGGGATCTTCTTCCCTCGGTGGAGGAACACCGCCGATATTGGTTTTGGTGTCAACCTCTAGGCCTGCGAAAAGGAGGAGGAGAAGGGGGAGGACCCAGCCTCCCCCCATTCGCTGCCTCTCTGGCCACGCCCTCCTGCCATCAACTGGCCCACGGGCCCGTCCGCGGTCCTGGCCAGGATTGCAGAGCGAGTCCCGCCGACGCGACGAGGGCCCCTAAGAGACCCGAGATAAGGCGTATATACGTACTAGATATGGATGTATATATATATATATATATATATATATATTCGTACGGCAGGTTCGTGTCGTGCCGACCCCAGCGTTGGTTTTTGACACCGCAGGGATCGTTCAACCTTGAACGATCGGCCGCTGCCGCAAAGTCCGATCGTTCAACATCGATCGATTCTGGGTCGCCGGCGGCGTTCAACCTTGAACGCCCGCGCTGGGGTCGCCGCTGGTCGACACGACGCAAACCTACCGTATGTGCATGTTAGCCAGCACGGACCCCAAACAGTCATCCATTCCAGTAGATGCAGTGCAAGCTAGGTGGTGCAGTCCATGTGGTGTATATACGCACTAGATATGGATGTATACATTTGTAGATTGACTACCTACCAGACCACCCCAACCCAACCCGAAGACCCGAATTTGACCCGAATTTCGGGTTGGGGGGGGTACGGGCACCATGTGTTTTCTCAACGTTCCCCGACCCCCCCCCACTGGAAATGGAGGGCAAATTGAGGCCTTCGGGTTGGGTTGGGGTGGTTGGTAGGTGGTGATAGATGTATGTTAGCCAGCGCGGACCCCAAACAGTAATCCATTCCAGTAGATGCAGTGCAAGCTAGGTGGTGCAATCCATGTGGTGCCATCCATGAGGCGCAATCTGTGTGGCGCAAAGCATCGCAAAGCTAATTATGCAAAGCAACGCGAAGCAATGCGAAGCAACGCAAAGAAACACAAAGCAATGCAAAGTGGCGCAAACACTGCAGAGCAATACAGTGCGACGCAAAGCAACGCAACGCTTCGCAAAAGAATGCAAAACAGTGCGAGTGCGAACCAGTGCAGAGCAATGCCATGCAATTTGATCGCAGCGCACTGCAGTGCGATCACAATGCCATGCGATCACAGAACAGCGCAGAGCAATGCGTCTTTTCAACGCACTGCAACACGATTGCCACGCAACGCGACTGCAATGCCGAAGGGGTGGCGCCACGGGGCAGCGGCCGCGGACGGGAACGGGGCCGCCGGGCCGGCGAACGGGCCCCGCTTGTGCCCCGGAATCCCAAGATGGGACTCCTGTCGTTACGCAGACCGCGTCGGCTCTCTCTCTCCCTCCTCCCCAACCTGCGTCCCTCGCCTCTTCCTCACAGGCATACTCACTCCTCACTCTCAGACTCACTCGCGCTGACTCGCTCGTGCTCAAAACTCATTCGCGCTCAGGCTCACTCATTCTCAGACTCACCCACACTCAGACTCACTCACACTCAGATTCACTCATACTCGGACACACTCATACTCAGACTCACTCTTCATCACTCAAACTCACTCACATCACTTCCTCATTCAGACTTACCCATATTCAGAATCACTCACTCACTCACTTAGACTGCGAAGATGTCTCGAGCGAGGCGCTGGTTTCAGCACCCCAAGGGGGAGCCGCCAGGGGGTATTGCACGGGCCCGTTCGCGCCCAGACTGGCGGTGTCTCAGGCGGTTTGCCCGTTTGGTGTGATGATGTCTCCGGCGAGGCGCTGGCGTCAGCACCCCAAGGGGGAGCCGCCAGGGGGTATCTTACGGGCCCTTTTCGCGCCCAGGTTGTGGGGATGCCTCGAGCGGTGTGCCTGCTTCGGCACCCAAGGCATGTCTTTAGACTTGTGCCACCTGGGCGCCTCCAGACCCCTTTCACTCACCCGGCTCCCCCTGCTCTTCCGCGCTCAAACGCACTCATACTCAGACTTGCTCATCAGCACCTCTTCCTCACCCAGACTCACTTATCACACTCAGACTCAACCATACTCATACCCACTCATACCCAGCTCCACTCATACTTGGACTCACTCAGATTCAAACTCGCTCACACAAGCTCGCTCACACTCAGACTCACTCACACTCGAACTTACTCACGCTCAAATTCGCCCTCCCTCAGACTCACGTATGATCAAACTCACCTCAGGTTCGGTTCACTCGTAGTGAGACCCATTCGGTCTCAGACCCTCTCAGACTCAGACTCATGCTCGTCAACTCATTATCAAACCCACTCGCACTCAGACTTACCCACACTCAGAATCACTCTCACTCAGACTCACTGATACTCAGACTTACGCATAGTTGGACCAAGTCGCACTAAGACTCTCTCACACCTAGACCCCCTCACACTCACACTCAACCATACCAGGGTTCACTCTCACTCAGATTCACTCACCCTCAGATCATTCACGCCCAGATTCACTCAGTTTTCTCTCCCTTGGTGGTCCAATGCTCCCTCGCTCTTCCACTGTGTTTCCCTCGTCTCTCCGGAAAGATGCCCAGAGGAGGAGGACGTCACTGACGTCGTCGCTGTCGCCGTCGTCGTTGTTGCGCCCGTCGTGCACGCCGATTCGCTCTCCTCGCCATCGCTCGGACGTCCATTCCCTGTGTTTTTCTTCGGTCTCGTGCGTGGTTTTTCTGCTGGATGATCAAGGATGCTCCTCGATGGCCCTCGCCGGAGGAAAAAATGCACACGTCCGAGCGAGGCCAAGTCTCACACCCACGTGGTCACAAACTGAGCTCCCCCAGCGCGACGCGGCAGGAGGAGCACCGGGGGCACAGTGCCACGGCGACGGCCACGGCAACGGGGCCGCCAGGGCCCGCGCACGGGCCGAGTGCCTTCCATTGACGAAGGAGCAGCACACAGCCATACCCATGGGGGGGTCGTGGGGAGGAGGACTGGCTATGGGTTATGGGTGCGGGTTGTCGGACCCTGGGGAACGCTCCCGTTCGAGCGGGGACCCCCATGCGACAGCACGCACCCGTAGCCCTCGCCGACCCCTCTATGGGTCTGGGTGTGTGTGCTGTTGGTTCGTCAAAGGAACTGAGAAGCCCCAAGAACAAGCACCTGCAGGGGAACGGACATGTCCGCCACCGTGCCCCCATGGCACGTGGAGGCGTGGAAGGATGCCACGGTCTGCCTGGCAGGGCTTCTGTAATGTGATGAGAGGCCGCCCCATCGTCGTCGTTACCGTCATCATATCCATTTCCATCATCATCATCATAATCATCATCATCATCAGCAGCAGCAGCACCACCACCACCACCAGCATCATCAGCATCCTCAGCAGCAGCACCATCATCACCGTCATCAGCGGTGCCATCGTCATCGTCCTCTTCATCGTCAACGTCGCCGTAAATAGCGCCCAGACACACAGCCACAAAGGGCCCCGAAACGGCTCGAGAGGGCCCCGAGAGGGCGCCCGAGAAGGATTCAAAAACGCCCAGGAGGCTCCCCAGACGGCCACGGGGGGCCTCAAGACAGCACAAGACCGCCCAAACATGGTCCAAGAGGCCCCCGCCTTTGCCTTTTCAACGCTTTCTGGGGGGGGGGGTGAAAGGATGGGGGAAAGTAGGAGGCGTTCGGGGGAGAAACATTGAGATGGCGGCAAGGGAAGCGGAAAGAAAGGGATGGGGAAAAGGGGCAGGGGCTGAATGGAACGGGTAACAACGGCAAAAAATAAGCAAGAAATGAGCACGAAGGGACTTGGAGCGAAGCGACGCCCAGAGGGAGAGCGAAAGCGTATCATAAGTATGAATAGGGCAAGGAATCGAGGGCAAGGGGTCGAGCGGGGATGAGGAAGCTGAGCGACGACCGTAATCGCGTGTAGTTGTATATGACCGTTTTGTATGTATGGTTGTTGGTTTGCTGCGTCGATTGTTATTGGTGTTATGTCGATGCGTGTGTATACATATACATATATGCATATATATATATATATATATGTATATATATGTATATGTGGTTGCTCGCTTCGTTTCACCACAAACTTTGGCAGTGCGTCCAAATAACCTCGGAGATGGGAATGTGGGGCGCTGTGTACAGCAGGGCCACGGGAAAAGGACGCAGTAGTTGGGCGCTGCGAAGTCGGGCTGGGCAAACGGTGGGTCCGAAAACGGAGACATTAGGACGGAATGTGATGCGAACGGACGGGGGCGACTCATCTCCCTATGACCATGCGAAGGCGGCTGGAACAGGGAGAAGTCATGACCACGAGGGCGCGAACGTCATGGCATTGAAGGGGGGAGTCATGAACAGGTGGAGGTTGAGGGCATGGTTGCGGCAGGGGTATACACCATGACCACGAAGGAACTGACAGTAATACGTGACAGGACGGTCATGGTGATGATTGTGTCATGTGGGAGCGACGGTGGCGGCCATGAATTGACCCCATCCACAGCGTATATCATACACTGTCAGCGGGGTCAACGTGATGGCCCAATGAAAGATTCAAGGTCATGTCGGGCTAGCCCCCTCAGGTTGTTGGAGAAATTGTTGAAACCTAGGCAGGGCGCAGCCGCCATTAAGATGTCGGGAGGGCAGCGGCAGGTCGAGCACACCATCCTTCCTCGGAGTGGTCGTCGGGCCACATTTCAAACCTCAGGCACCCGCTCGCAACGACCGAGGCACCCCGAGATTCCCTTGGCGGGCCGCAACTGCTGCAGGCATCGGGAGGCGAGGAACGTCCAATAATACACCAATTATTGCGTGGGTCGGGATT